ATATCAACATCTGCCCATTTCAGTCCATTTGATGATCCGATGGCCAGCAAGAAAGCGATAGCAACAAGAAACTCTGGGAACGAATCAACCAAGAACCTATAGCCAACTAATATGTAGAAGCAAATGGAGATAGATCGAACACACTCTGAGGAGACCATCGAACGACATCGCGCAAAATGCAGGCCATCACTCGAGTGGAGCTCGCATGAGAAACAACGAGTGGGACTTGGGTCCGAGGTTGAAATGCAGGAGATAAGGAACTACGGTCATTCGTGCGGCCAGTGGAAGAGGACAGCAGCGAATAAGACAAAGTTGAGATGCATTGTTGAAGTCCCATGTTCCACTCAGAAACCAAGGGAACAAAAATAATTACAACTAGACTGTTGGTTGATTCACTGCTCGACAAACTCTCCAGTCATATGATCTTCAATTTAAATCAAAGGAAGAAGTTGTTAATGAAAGTCAGCAGTAGTTTGCTTGGAAAAATCCTTTGGTGACACATGCACCAAGTCTTTGAAACAAACACGACTACTGATCTGATATTAGTGCTGAAAATTCAGATTTAAATAGCTTTTTACTGAATGCTGTAGATATCCACAGGAATTGCTGAGTAATGAATGCCTGTCCATCTTACTTCCATGATCCTAAGTGCTTTTGAAATCTTAGGACGATTTTGCCTAGCTAAGTGCAGGAGACGACTTCCCTTCAATCTCTCCCATTGTTAGGTGGTTAGTCCTTGATGACGTTGGTTCGATATTTCTATAACTTTTACCGTTTATATATTTATATATATTGGATTCTGTTCCAGTGGCTTACCTTGGAACCTGAAGGCCATAGGTGGTGGTAGTGTCTTGGTGCGTACCGATGATGAGTCCCAAACAAAGACGAAATAACTGTCCAGTACTCCTTCATGGTTTTCGGACTCATTCTCTGAGTGAGTGAGTAATGGTATTTCCACTGAGACCTGAACCTGACAATCATTGTTTCAAACATTAAATCGTTATTCACAAAAACCACCTCTTTTACAAAAGGGATCAGTTAATTTAAATTTCCGGTCGACTGATGATCGTATTATATTCAACCAAAGAAATTAACGATGCAATAGATGATAGATTGAATCATTTAAAATGTGTGAATAAATGCCAAACTACTTTGTAGACATTTCTCCGACAGATTCTGGAACGTGGGTATCGTTACTGGCATCTATCAGTCGTTATATTTCTTGACCTAAAGGCGACATTCGATTCTGTCGACCGAGAGGTACTTTGGCGATGTTTAGCTGTGAGAGGAATCCCGAGAAAATACATTTTTTCGATTTGTCTACTAATCTTATAATTGCACACCTTTTTCAAGTTCTATCCATCCTATGAATTATTCTATATATGACAATAATTTGCCTTGCCACTTGACATTTAACTACGATTATAATCACAAACATTTTAGTTTTAATTGCATTTCATATCACTATTATTATTACTATTTTATGCATTCACACCTATGTTTCAATTCGGTCACCGGATATAACTTCTTAAAAACCATATATATATATATATATATATATATATATATATATATATAATATACAATTGTACAGCTTGATGATAAATTCGTTGAAAAGAGTCTCTTCGCTGAATCATTTGTTTTGATTTTCTATATGTTACAATGGGAATTTTCGATGATTTAAAAAATACATTGCACTGATCAAGGCACTTTACTCGAACTCATGCAACCAGTCAGGTGAGAGCTTACGGCAAGTTGTCATCTGAGGTGGTGACAACTAGTGGTGTCACTCAGGTATGCCCATTATCCCCATTTCTATTCAATTTCATCATAGATGTACTAATGGACTTAACCCTAACTGACTTGAGAGACTCAAGGATTGACTGGTTACCATGAAGGAATAATCTCGTTAACTTATAGTGTAGGTGAAGACGCTGACAAATTCAAAGTCCTCTGAACACCTTGAGTTGCAATCTGCGAATGTTTGGCATGCGATTCGCTCCCGCTAAATGTGAGATGATGAGGCTACAGGACTGTACTACACTGAAATAGGAAGTGAATTGGAAGAGCAGGTTGACCGCTTCACTTATTTGCGAATTTGCATCAGACAATACCAGCGGTTGATCCCTGACGAAATCTCAGCACGGATACAGGGGGCTAGTTTCGCATATGCAAGTTTACGCCATCTTTATAGAAAACGAGAGATTCGGTAAAGGAATGTTTATTCCCATTGAGATACCAGGCCTATCACTTGCCTATGGAAGAACTTGCAGAATTCTATGGCAGTTTTAGAGAAAGGACAGGTAGAAGGCGAAAGACTTGGTAGAGAAATGTCTGGCCTTCCTTCATATTGTCTTCCTTTCACATTGTCTCCCATGTATCTCCGCAACGCTGTTGTATCATTTGCTTTCTCTCAAAACAAATTTACCTCCTTGCTACTTGATGTTTTTATCGCTGATGAACGTCTCTTTACATATATACTACTGATAAATCTTATCAGTAGCACACACACCACATATAAATAATCCTAACAATTTATGTTTAATTTTAGGTTAGTAATAAGTGAATAGAAACAGTACAACTATCTCGGTTCATGGCTGTGTTATGACTGAACGGAACTGACCCGTTGCCAGTTTTTTATAACTGAAATGAATAGACCCCTTGCTACTTTGTTATGTCTGCGCCTGTTAATTACGGTAGTCCTACGGTAGTGAACTCGACTGGTTCGCTAATATATCCTATTTGTCCGTTGTACTTTCTGATTCACTGAGCCACGTAAATATCAAAAGACAAAGGCTGGCTGGCCTGTGACTGTATGATGCTGTATTATTATTGTATATTTATTACAAAACAAAACATCATATTTATACATTTGCTTGACCATTATAAAGTCGGCGCACAACCGTGGGAACGGACTGTTCTTATTGGCTGGTTGGCGATCCAACAAAGACCAAGGTGAGACAAAAGACGATGAATTGATTACACATAACTGCACAGAGTAACTCCATCACAAGATAAATCACACGATTCGTGAGAAAGGATGATATACTATTTTATGCTGGGTCCTGTCAGGCTGGTTTAAACTAATCAAGGGAATCAAATTTGATTATTATTTTTATTCCTTTACTTTCTGATTGCGACATAGGGCTTTGGAGTTTCTGCAGCTGTAGCAGTGGTGTTTATTTTTACGGGGTGATATTGCTAGCCTCAAGCCCAACTTTCGCTTTTCACTAGCCTTGCTACGGCTAAAAGGGGTTCAGGAGTGTCTCGGCCAGGGATCGAAATCCGGACCACATGGGTAGTTTGCGAGAGCTCTACTGCTAAACCACCGTGTGATCTTGGAAGTGTGTGGGCGGTTGTTACTTCCCGGTTGCCCATACCGTGGAAGTTGTTTGATTCTGGATACCTGAAACAGAGAGAGGGTTAGTGTTGCGTGACCGCAGAGCCCAGGGGACAACTGCTTGAGGCCGACCGGTCACACACGGCCTGTATGAACTGGTTTCTTGGTTTGGTTCCGTGTGAGTAAACTTACCGCCGGTTACGGACCACCGTAGGGTAAGTCGGGATGTACAATTTTTGGGATCGACCTTTTCTAAGGGGGTGGGGTGGGAGCACAGATGAGGATGTAACAGCCAGACACGATTAGAAAAGCATGATATGCGCAGGTGTTTATCACTCTGACAATAATAGAAAGTTAATGCTTATACATATATATGGTTTGGAGACTTGACTGCAGACTTTCACCAACCTCGATTACTGAAGATTAGATAACCAAAAAACGGAAAAGACAGTCGACAAGGAACTCTGACAGGCAGTTAAACAGCCAACCACCAATGGCCTAATGAATATACGAAAGGAAATGGAGATGGATTGCAGGATTGGACTACACCGACCCCTAGATTAGAAATAGGAAGTGAAGTGGTAGAGCACGTTGACCGCTTCACTTACTTGGGAAGTACCATCAGCCAGTGTCAACGGGTTGATCTCTGATGAAATCTCAGTACGAATACAGAGGGCTAGTTTCGCATATGCCAGTTTACGCCGTCTCTGGCTTAGTAGACGTGATATCCGACTATCGACCAAAGGGCCTGTGTACTGTTCAACAGTCCGCTCCATCCCCCTTTATGGCTGTGAGACCTGGCCATTGAGAGCAGAAGACATGAAAAGATTAGCTGTCTTCGATCATAGGTGTCTGCGTTCTATCTCCCACGTGAAGTGGTATAATAAGGTGAGCAATATTGAGGTTAGGCATCGGTCGAGTGCTAGGTAAGGCGGGGAAATCAATCGATGAGACTGTGAAATTACATCGACTGAGGTGGTTAGGACATGTGCTACGTATGCCTAGTCATCGCCTTCCTCGACTGACGGGCGATGTTAGCTGATATAGGGCCAGGCTGGAAAAGAGCTAGCACGTGGCGGTAAAACCAAAACATGGCACCAGTCAATGAAATCTACAACAGTTAGTCTAAGCCACGTAGGAAGGTGTAAACTTCCTGGTTGGGGTCCTCGGGACAGTAATAGCCAATGGTTGGAAACAATTGGTGACATGGCTCAAAATCGTTCTCAGTGACTGGCGCAGATGCATCCACTTCTTGTGACTTATGATTTCCAATTAAACTGTTTTGTTCTTCGTTATTACTATTCCTTTGTCTCACACCTCTGTTTAGTGTCTCTATTATGCATATCTTCTACTTTCTTCTCTTACTTTGTGTGCTACAAGGAGGGAGTGTGTCGACTTGAACTGCCGCACATATGTGTAAAGTTCTATGTCGAAAACCGACCGACCAACCGAACGAGATGGATTGAACATACTCTGAGGAGGCGGTTAAGTGACATTACACGCCAGACCGTCGGGTGGGCGCCCAAGGATGACAAAAAAAAGAAAGAGGTAGTGTAAGAAAGAAATGAAAGCCAATGGACAGTCGCCTGACTAGAGCTGTAAGCGATGACAAATAATCGAATTGTACAGTAAGCGAATCATGAAAAATATAACAATAAAATAAGTAGAGCAAAATTTATTTAGTGTTATACAAAAAATCAAACACACAAAATATAAAGGTAGGTTAAGCATGGGGTCAAAGTTAATCACATATATATTTACATACACGTACAGATGCATACACGCACATAATTCACAATTCATCATGACTTGTTGAACTAGTTGTCGCATGATTCGCAGAATCACTTGGATTAATATAGATACCTTCTGAAGCAATCCATGTGACTGCATCGTTTGATTTCGGTGTAGCGCAGACTTCATATTGTCCTGATATTGGTCGACCGTATCGTTTACCAGATAAACGTAAATATCTATAAATATGTAATAAGTAATGTAATAAAGTATACGTGTATATACACATTTTAAAGTTTATCTTGCATATAAGGAGGAAAAAAACCAACAACACCTTCCTTTCCTTATTTGGTTAGATTCCATAACAAATGGGGCCTGTCCGAAGGAGGAAACTGTGTTGAAGTGTCAACCCCCCCCCAACTATTGTAAGTTGAAAATTGAGAACTTGATTCAATGTCCTGTAAGCAAGCTCACCCATGTAGTTAGGCAGAATTCGAATGGCTTGAACAGTGAGTGATTCAGCTGTTAGAGTTGATTCAGAGACCGGATACACTATTGATCAACTTGACCCACAGCCGAGTGTAACTGCCATCTGGTGTTTAGAACACTTTGGTCTAGCTAGCTGGCTACCTAGAAAGCAAGCGCTACTGGTTGGAGCGAATAGTATCCAACTATTTATAATAATCAATATACGGCGAAGTGCTGAGAGCTTGGGCTGCTAAAACACTCCATCTTATTTCTCGTGTTCATCTAGCTTTAATCTATAAAAAGATGACCTCTAGTGGTATTGTTTACTCTCACAAGTGTTTAAAATGTTCACAGCTTGCTGATTCATAGGTTTTTATGACACCTGAGAAGAAGGATTATCGTTAGGGGTGGCTAGCTATCCCAAATACATGAAATGACTATTCCTGACACTTTTACTACAAGTTACCATTCTCTGGGATGTAATGCTACCTGCCTTTAGGTGAACATAGATAAAACAGAGGTAGGTGATGAAGATTCCTGGCCAACAGCAACAGCAAAAACAACAACAACAGACAACAATCAGCATAAATGGGAGGAATCTGAAAGAAGCAACCTCCTTCATCTACCTACCTACCTACCTGGGAAGCATCGTTTCAACTACAGGCGGAATTGACGAGGATATCAAAGCAAGAATCGGAAAAGCAAGACAAGCTTTCATTTCTCTCAAGTCTGTGTGGAGACAACAGCACTACTCAGCATGAAAAATAAGATCTGGATTTTCAACTCTAATGTGAAGTCAGTACTACTTTATGGATCAGAGACTTGGTGCCACATCATATAGGGCACTTCGGCCAAACTGCAGACCTTCATCAACAGCTGTCTTTGCTCAATACTACTCAAGATCAGATGACCAGAAATGATCACCAACAGGGATCTTTGAGAGTGAACCAATCCAGCAGGAACCAACTGTGAAATAAATATGCAGGAAGAAACGGAGGTGCGCATTGGCCATGCTCTGAGAAAACAAACCATCAGGTGACATCACTCGACAGGTCATCCCTCGAGTGGAACCCGAAAGGGAAGCGGCGAGTTGGTCGTCAACACGAGTGTGACATGGAGGAGGTCATGTGAAGAGTAGGAGATGAAAGCATGTGAGCAGACGTGGGGTCAGGTGAAAACGCTGGCAAAAAACCGAACGCAATGGAGACGTGCGGCTGAAGCCTTATGTTCCTTTAGGGACCAAAGGAAACAATAATAATCTTTAGGTCACTCTTGCGTCTCGTTCTCAGTTGGCTTTCAACTCCAAATGTCGTGCATTTCTCGGAGGAGGCAAAAAAGGAAGGAAGCTATCATAATGGGTTGATTTGTGCTTCAAGTCAAACGACAATGCATCTACTACTATCACTTACTATTTTACTCGAAAATACCAGGCGAAGAGAAAATGCTATGCAATAAATTCTGCTGATAATCCTGTACATTATATAAACACTATCCATAGTGAAGCTATTATTATTTATTTAAATTTAATAAGTAGTATATGCTATCTTGCCTTTGGCAGACTCATATAAAATATAATGATTGAAGTTGAAAAGACGACTGGGTTTGTAACAGAACTCAAACCAAGGGGTTTTACATTCAGTTTGAATAGCACAGTGTCCTACTGACTTGGGCTATCTGTATTATTCAGTCACCAGCCTAATTCTAACTTCATCTCAATCAAAAGGATATTTTTTATAATTAGGACATTGTAAGACTCAAGCAGATAGAGAGAAAGTTGCAACCATCTGACTGAATGACTGACTGACTAAGTCTTCACCGTAGAACCATGCGCAGAAGTGCAGTAGTTCAAGTTGATACACTCCATACAGCACACAAAGGTAGAGAAAAGAAAAAAAATTTTGAAAGAACTGAAAAGCGGCGGAAATGAATGAGAGCAGGAATAATTACACGGAGAAACATAAGAATTTAATGGTTCTGAGAGTTTACAACGAGTGAATACACCTGCGCTATTGAGAATAATTTCGAGTCTTATCTATCACCAGAAGTTTCAAGCAATTATTTCGGAGTCTCGGCAAAATCAGCTATTGGGTAAACCTATAACTTTTTGATCATAGATGTCTACAATCTCTTTCTCACGTTAGGTGGCATAATAAGGTCAGTAATGTTGACGTTAGGCGTAGTGTTGGGCAAAGAGGGAAAATCAATCGACGAGGCTATAAAGTCACATAGATTGAGATGGCTAGGTCACGTGCTGCGCATGCCTAACCATAGCCTCCCCGACGGACATTACTAGCTGATATAGGTGCAGGTTGGAAAAGAGTAAGTGGTGGCCAAACAAAAACTTGGCATCAATCCAAGAAATCTTAAATTGTTGATTTGAACCACGCAGAAAGTTATAGTCTATCTGTCTGGATTCAACATAGAACTGGGCACCGAAGTGCAGCAGTTCGAGTTGCCACGTTCCAAATAGCACACAAAGGTAGACAAGAAAATGAGAGTGAAGAGAATCAGTAGAGTTTTGACAAGTATAAGAGTGAAACAGAATGAGTAATGGTAAAAGGAATATGAAAGATTACAGAGACTGAATACATCTGCGTAAGCCATTGACAACGATTTTGAGCCATGTCACCTATTGTCTCCAGCCATTTATTCTTAGAGTCCCGAGGGCCCCAACCCGGAAGTCTGCATCTCCCTCCCGACCTGACTCAGTTTAACTGTCAAGGATTTCATGGATTGATGAGGCCATGTTTTTGTTTGGTCACCACTTACTCTTTTCCAACCTGCACCTATATCAGCTAGTAATGCCCGTCCGTCGGGGGAGGCGATGGTTAGGCATGCGCAGCACGTGACCTAGCCATCTCAATCTATGTGACTTTATAGCCTCGTCGATTGATTTTCCCTCTTTGCCCAACACTACGCCTAACGTCAACATTACTTACCTTATTATGCCACCTAACGTGAGAAAGAGATCGTAGACATCTATGATCAAAAACAGACAACCTTTTCATGTCTTCAACTCGTATTGGCCATGTTTCAGAGCCAGCCATAGAGAAGGACGGAGCGAACTGCTGAGCAGTACACACGTCCCTTGGTTGATAGTCGGATGTCACACCTACGCCAGAGATGGTGTAAGTTAGCGAAAGCAGCTCGAGCTTTTTGTATCCGTGCTGAGATTTCGTCACCAATCAATCCGTTGGTGCTGATACAACTTCCCAAATAGGTGAAGTGGTCAACATGTTCTATCACTTCACTCCCTATCACTAAGCTAGGGGTAGACGTAGTCCAGTCCTGTAGCAGCATCTTACATCTGTGACAGAACTGATCTTGAAATCAGTCCAATCCCTATGACCTAAATACTTTATCTTTCTAACCATGATAGGACAGGTGTGTTTATCACACATTCAAAAAAAAATAATCCTTAATGAGTTCATTATTTTAGAAAAAGTAATATGACATTTAAACTTACCCATCAGTAGAGTTATGTTTCAAACGAATTTTTGATGTTCTTCGCCAGTAACTGCCATCACAAATAACTTGCCAATCATCACCTTGTTAAATTAAAGAGAGAAAACGCATTTACGGACTGTAAACATAAATTTATATAAACAGTATTTGTACAGCAAAATTTAGATAAGAATTATGTATATCCAAACACAAAAAATGTACTAATTGTAAACTAACCTTCATCTCCAACTCCATCATTGCCGAATGCTGAAACTTCAAAATTAGCAGACAGTGGGGAATCAAAATGATGACTGTGGAGGTTTTTCCGTGTTGATAGATGCATAAGTCTGATTTTCTGTCCACATTTTATAACTCTACCTCGACTACACTGTGGACTTCCATTACGCTCAACAACCTAGATAAAATAAGAAAAATTGTCATTTCTGTTATTCTGATAGCTTCTAAAACAAATGAGTCTTGTTTTTTTATTACAATAATACCTGTGAAGAAGGAAAAATGAGTTCATCGATTTCTCTAGAATGAAAAAAAACTCAAATAACTGTCAACAGAATGAACACCTGGGACATATCACAAGATGGTGAACGATATAGTTCCTGCCACTGGTTGAAATCTACTCTATAGCTGGCATACATTGTATGCTGATCAACAATCACATGTCAGTAACGAATCACGTTTACTCTGTGGAGGCGGACAATTACTTTCCACGTACTGCAACTCTGCCTAGTACAAAAACCCCGATGGTCTACAAATACAGCAAATGAGTTGTTAACATATTAACGGATACCTTCATTGATTTCTCTTTTGTGCCTCCAGCCTGTCACGGCTGTTATGGAAACACGATCCCATTGGTGTTTTAACTTCCCACAAGGTGGTCGCTTTGTCCACAATAGTCTAATGGTAGAAACCATTTACGATACCTGAAGACCACAATAAAAAGGTATTTTACCTTACGTGTCACGAGGTTGCATATTCTCGTGATTATGAGTGCTGACAGCCATATATGAGAACCATATGCTCCATGTCAGACCTAATAAGAGAGAAGTTAAAGTATCACGCCTCAAGGGTGCGAACGCTTCAATGACTTTAAACGTATACTAGTCGTTGGATAATGGGACTTGGGGCTATTACAGCACTAATGTGATTGCCATTCACGAATTAAGATGTAAATGTCACCCCGACCACGTTACTAAGTACTGTCTGGACAAAGTTTCAATAGCTCGTTAGGGTTATGATTGGGGTTAAGTTTGCAGTTGGTATTATTTTCTGTAATTAGTTTTATTATCCACGTTTTCTGATAGGTACTCGTCGATCCTCTTACTGGAAACCATAGTAATTCAATCTAGGGCTTTTGGGGAAGACTGCAAAAAACAGGATAAGAGTGATAAACGGGTCACAAAAAAAGCTCATCTTCAGTCACGTCAGTGAATACGTGTACAGAAACTGGTCCACCTTAAAAACTGATAGTCATTATGATTGGGAGCTACTTTGAATCATATCAGGAATAATATCATGTTTGATGTGTTTTATCGATAAAACACAGCTAGCATTATTATTATATAGAGCAAAACGAGTTCTCCTTTTATTGGACAAAATACCTTAACTTTGCTCAAATAAGACACAAGTGCTGAGCTGTAGGGCTATAGGTACTAGTTTAACCCAAGATTACAACGACGTATGGAAGTAAGAGTGGCCGAAGTATTAAGATTGACCGTTAACACCACTGGTACATATTCTAAATGATATACATAAAGTCTACTAAAAATATTATCGATGCATTTAACCAATCGAATGTTGGACTTCGTAATTCAGAAAAAAACACCATATACGAATGCCATTAAAGTGGCAAAAAATTGTGGAAAAACATACCTGCCATAAGCTATTGGTATCCAAATCGTCAGACACAGCAGTCACAGACTGTTGTCCACTTCCAGTACCATACTGAACTTCGTGTGAATGAAGTCGTACATTGTAATCTGTGTTCGTCAGCTTAAGCACCGACCCGCATGTTACAGTACCCTGTTGAGCATTGGACTCTGAAAAACTTACTGCACTCAGTTAAAAACAGCATACCTGAGGCAAATACAACAAATACAATCGGGACGAAAACCGCGAACATGACCTAGAACAACCCTAAACAAACCTCCTAGTCGTGGATAAATTAAAACAAATGCAGCCTATTCAATTCAAAATTATTAATGATAATGTCAGAAACTGAAGTGCAACGGCTTACTTCTTTCTCTCAATTCTCCTTTTACATTCTGCGATGGGTCACAATATGTTTCTTTCTCTTCTACTTTTACCTTACATGACATCCAATGTCCAACTTGATTTCCATGATCTAGCATAAACCAGACGAATTTATTTACTCCCTCCTTTGATCTGAGTATTCATGAGCCATCAGAGCTATCACTTGCTTATGGAAGAACTTGCAGAATTCTATGGCAGTTTTAAAGAAAGGACAGTGACATTGTAACGGTAGAAGACGAGAGACTTGGTAAAGGAATGTTTATTTCCAGTTTGGTATCTCTACACGGCGAAATTATGTACACCTTATCTTCAACGTACCATTTGCACAGATCTTCCGTGATTTGATACTCCTGGCCCTCTATCATATTGTAATTCCCTGTGTTCCTTTCACATCTCCCATGCGTCTCAGCAATGCTGTATCATTTGCTTTCTCCAACAACAAATTTACCTCCTTGCTACTTGGTCTTTTTATCGCTGATGAACGTCTCTTTATATGCGAATGATAAATCTTACCGGTAGCACATGCTACAACGTGCCCGTAATCTGCTTTAGTTTTTTTTACCAGCAATGCACTCCTTTTTATTGAAGAAAGTAATAATGCAACAGCTAAAATAACAATAAGAACAAGATATTAAATAAACAAGGGTCACTGGGGAAGCCATCTGATTATTGCAAGAGAGAACTGTGATACAGTTAATCATTCAGTTAAACTAATGTAGCAACAAGAAAAAGAACAGAACATAGATTCTATGCCAATGTTTTGTCGAGTATACAATCAGTCTAACAAGATCCTTGTGTGATCGTTTAGCAGGTTTCCGAAAATCTACCCTGATAATTTGGTTGACACGGCTACTGACAGTCTATTCAAAGACTGCTAACTCGAAGCCTAACTATTAGTGATATTAAGCAAAAAATTATTTTAAAGCGCAGAAAGCTCAATTCGTTTCGAATTTACCTGAAATCAACCAAAGAAAAAGTTAGGTCCAAGTGAGTGCAAAAGTAACCTTAAAAATTTACTTCCCCCAGTATTGCTGCTCCCTCATAGGATTGAACAAAGTAATAAACTACAGTTTAAATTTTTCCAGGCAAACCGCCTACACACGGTCCTACTTGGCTTTGTGTTGCGTGCATAAAGGAATATTGTGCTCAATTCACATATTGCATTTGGCAGATTCAAAGGTGTTTTGCCGGTCTTTTATAAAGCTGCAACTTATGTTTGTCATACTCTGAGAGTAAGGACTTTTCTCACCCTGTCTTGTTTATTCTGAATAAACATTCTGTTTAACGTTTTGTTTATTGCTAATGTCAGTAAAAAGTTTTGTACTGTGGGGCAGATTGAATTAATGATGACTATGTTTCAATAATTTATCTTGGCAACATTTTGAAAAGTAATGCTGGAGCTTGTCTTGCAACCGGGGGGCAAGTGGTCCGAAGCCCAGTGGATGCGTGCTGCCGATGAATCCAAAACTAGTTGAACTGTCCAGCACTCCCTGGTTTTCAATGGTTCTCCAAATTATGTCGGTCCGTGTTCAATCTTTAAGTTTATGAAATCCCTATGAACAAACTCTTAATGACTACTGTTGCTTACAATCCTATTTATTTGTGAGCGACATTTGACGGCATTGTTTATTATTTAAGAAACTTGATGAATTTTTGTTTATTCTTCTGCCGTTTATGTTTTCCTGTTTTTCTCACCTAAATTTTCGGAGCAGTCGCAAGAGCCTTCAAACGACGCCCCTTCATAATCTGTGCAATGACCTTGACTTTTCGACTCACTTAAGTGCGTGCAACACCACGAATGCTAACACTGCTGTTATTATATAAAGCTCACTTCAGGATTTTAACAAGTATCATCGGGGCTGTTTCGGCCATTTTACGACCAACTGCCTTGTTTGCTAAGCTGTGAAATGTAACTTGTTTGAATTTTGAGGACACTCATTGGTCTCAACAATCTAAAATACCTTCGTACAGAAACTTACGAGAAGCGAAAGATTATCCAGCGATGCTGGAACTGGATTTGCGCGTAGCGCTCACCTTGCATTGATTAGTAAATTTAGCTGGACGAACTCAATCATTTTTCGTGACACTAATCAAGGAAAATAAACATTTTGAGAACTGGGGATATTTTCTAATCGTATAAGATAGGGTCATGGCTGTAAAACTGACATATTAATCGTACAGATTTCTGTCAATTTACGCGGAATAAGTGTTTACACCATCAAGAAAAAGATTTCCATGAGCACTTAACTTTTGACCAGCCGTCATTCACACCTTGCTACATAGGAGCTCATAACTGCCAATTTAGTTGGTAAAATTGATCAGTATATTCGAACTGTATGCAACTCTGTAGACAGTATCAAAACGCATTTTCGCCAAGAGGTTAGAATCTCTCTTAAAGTATGTTGCACAGAAAATTTTGTAGAAAGGATGGTTGCAGCATGGTGAGTGCAAACAATTAGTCCATTTTTCTAAGACAGTTCTACAGTGATCACTTTATCTACTCCTAGACACCAATGAACGATGCTGCAGTCTGACGAAATTTAGCAGAAAATATTGAAGGTGGCACCTGCTCAGCCCGGAAACTTCACTAATAATGTAATGATAGAACCAGTGAAAATTATAAAAGATATTGCCTGAGTCATCTTGGCACATAGAATTCACTCTTTCTTGGCTTTTGAAAAATAGACTTATCCGCCTGTATTCTGGCTTCCTTGGTGATCGATGTAAGTCAAACTGTTTGCTCTGAAACAATATTTTGATGCACCACGTGGAAAGCCCTGTCATTAATTAAATAAGATCACTTAATTTTCCGTCTTTTTCATGATCATGTTGGCACATCTAACTGTGAAATGAAACGTTTGTTTGAAAGCAATTTTGTGTGTCTGCATGCGCAGATGCTTCTAGCACGTGACCTCTTCTAACTGGTAATTAATTTATCCCAGGGGAAGGTTACTAAACATATTTTGGCAAGGGTAAATCATGGACGTACGTATTCTGCCAGCAAATTTGCAGCTAAAAATGTGACTAGTCATCACATGCTATAAGACAAGTTCGATGAATACCTCAGTCTCTATCGATGGAGGCCACAGACGACTCCTCCACCCAAGTATATCCTCAACAGACATGCTATTATTTTCCCTTATTGGTTGCTGAGGTGTTAGTGGCAGCCTGGCAACCATGTCAGGACAAGCCAATTGTTAGGCGGTTGTGTGGCCAAAGCAGGGGTTTAGAAGGATAGGAAACCAAAGGAAAGGGGGTTAGTTCTGGCTGAGACCAGCAGGAAAACATAACTGGAGTACAAGGTAGATGAATTTAGGAAGTCGTGTGATTACCTTGATATGATTATGAGCAATAAATTGTGCTCGAAACGTCATCAGTAAATATTACTGTATAACACTGTGAGACTATCAAAATAAAATTTACCCATAATGGAATAACTGGAGTACCTCAATATACGTTAATAACTATCCTCCTAGAATATTATCACTTTAGGCATTTATACAGCATACCACCTAAAATATGTATTAAATACCGGCTGCTGTGAAAGCTAACTATTACGGCCACTGCACGAATAACTCTTTGAAGTGTCGAACTCGCAGCTCCGATCAAATCCAGAACAACCTAAGTTTTTCCAAATAGATTGATGAAGTCCGAAACGAAACTAAGTGGCTGCAAATAGAATTATGTTCAGAATGGACTGTTGAGCAACTGTGAGATTATTGCTCTTTTTGACAAAACGTATGAGGTAAGCATTATACAAACCTTCAAACATGAGATTGTTCGGCATCCAGGCCCCAAAAACACTATGGCTGAACACAAAATCACTGTCAGTTAAGAGAAAAATTGAATTTTTCCTTTAATTTTCCTGTAATATCTCTGTTCTCACCGCACTCGGCTGTCCTAAAATTACCTCAGAATTGCCACTGACTTATCTTTTGTCAGCATTACTTGAATGAGTAGTACAACCCTAACGTTATACTTCCTGTGTGATTAGAGGTTGATTTGCATGAAATCTGTCATGAACTGGTGGTGGGCGACGGACAAAGTTTGAACTAGTTGTCACTGTCGGTCATTTGAGGTAGCAGCTTTTTCAGTTTGTTTGATAGCTTCCGAAGCTGAGTTGGGACAACATGAGTGTCTTTGGCTCAAGAGAACACCTAAATTTGTAGGTTTCACTTACCCTACACCGGTAGGTTGCAACTCCACTGGGAATTACTGGGCTTATAACAGGTTATTTTATTTAATAAGAATGGCTCATGTTATCAGAAGTGATTGAAGTGAATATATGTTTGGTTCCGATATTTCAAAATAATTAGATATCTTATGGTTCACCGTATCCGTGTTCACAAACTAAAGCCTGGTTTGATGATATTAGATGGTTGGAGGCAATCTGGAGGAAGCCTTGGACCTAGCTTTCATGCCGCCTGCGATTATCAAAATATATGTAATATCTTTTTGTGCAGGCCATCAAGTCATGAGATGCTACAGGATGTTTTCAGAGAGTAATGAATGAAATTTGAACTGCTGCCACAGACCGGCATCTGAACCAAATGTAGCAACAGACTACTACGCAGTAACTTGATTTGTAGTTCTGAAGGAGATTATTAAGCAGTGGGCAACAATATATACTTAAATTCATTAGTGAAAACAGTAATTCCTTCTGGTAATGTTACCTAATAATAATAACGACCGCTTTGTTCCAGACCATACGTTCATATAGTGCAGAATTTTCGGTGTATTTAAATTGCTAGACTTCTCTTCATTCGGGATCTTTGAGGAAATGGTATTCAGCCGTACATCATTGGTGCTTTGTTTCCCATCCGAAGCGATGTTCAAATCCCCACGATATTTTTTATTGAGAAGTGTTCTGTATATCAAGAAACTGAATCTGCATGTGAGTTCATGTAG